CACTAGGGGCTGTAAAATAGTGTGTGTGTCTGGAAGGGAGAAAAAGAGTGAGAGAGGTAGGAGTGGTGATGAGTTTCTGCTGTCCTAAGACATTTCTTTCATTAAGACCATTTCCAGGGGCAGTTTGTCTCCACAATTTTTCAGCCAGTACAACTGATATGTATATCATGTTGTTATGTACTACCTTCTGGGTTTTGTTCTGGTTTGTTTTGTTTTGGGTTTTTTTTTTCTCAGCACTCTACTACTAACCTCACTTAAATAAATGGATGTATCTACAGTTGCTGTTACTCTTTCCCAGAAAGTATTTAATACCACTCATGTACACACTTCTCTCACAATCTGTTTAATTTGCGCGAGAAGTAGTCATGCCAGTTTTACTGATTTCATAAGAGTTTCATAGTGTAATAGCTTCACATAAGTCTGTTAGTATGTAGTATATGCTTAACAGTAAACTCCTTTTTAAAATATTGTAACAGAGAAGTAGTCTGTATTTAAAATCATTAGAGAATGTTTGAAATTTCCATATATGTGCTTTCAGACCACAGTATGTAAACCAAGTGATTCTTTTCTTGGTATTCCTTTATTTTCAAATTTCAGTTGCCACAGTTTCTTTTATTTCCTTTCTGTACTCAAGCCTAAGTATAGAGAATACCTCAGTGTAAATGTACTGACGAAAGTGGTCCTACTAACACCCTTACTATTAGCATTTAGTCACTTGAATATATGTTCAAGAGAGATCTTCCGCATTGCTTTCTGTAACATCTTGTCTGCTTTCTGCAGCAGTCCCAGTCATGATCCTTTCCTCTAAAGATAAGTCATTTTTTACCCCGCTCTCAGAAATTTGCAAACACAAACTTGCTTTGTTGTAAGATTGGCTTCCCTGCTGTCCAAAATCAGGTCACCACAGTTTTATAAATTCAGGATTTTGAAAATTACAGTTTCTTCTCTGCTGACTTTTGAAGTTCCCTATTTATTAATCAGACAGAAAGCCGTTTTGGCCAAAGTTACTTCATCAATTGGGTGAACTGAAAAATTAGATTTGGCATAATTTGAAACAGGCAAATCTGTATTTCTCATTAGGATAAAATCTTTTATACTGATTCATGACAAATGGATTGCTAATGTAAACTGTAATATTTTTGTATTAGCTGTTTTGGGGTTAAGAATTTATGAATAAACCACAATGCAGTATAATATATGTTGCAGAGACAAAAAAAACACTATGCTCAAAAAAATTAATCCAATCCATTTTATAAATGCATTCATGATATTTGCATTTATGTTGTTCATATAAATAGTGCTATTATCTTTTCTTTTCTTTTTTTTTTTTTTTTTTTTTTTTTTTGAATGATTTTTAAGAAAACAGATGGTGTCCTACACTTAACTAGATTTTTTGTTGTTGTTGTCTATCAGTTATGCCAGAATTGTAATTGATCCTGTTAAGGACTCCATAAAATTTCACAATTTATTCTCAGTATTATTGAGCAGAATCTCTACCGAATTTTAGACATGAGAAAAAAACTTGCGGGTTGGGGCAGAAAAGGGGTCATGATCTGAAGTAGTAGTGCATGGAATCCCTGGAATGATGAAGCAAATGAGCACAGCTCATACTGCTGTTCCAAAGCATGGGACAGTGTGGATTAAAGAATAGGGGATTTGAAGGGGTGTGGGAGGAGGAACTGAAGAATACAGAATTCTGGGCCTATATACTATGCCATAAACAGATTCAGTTCATGTATCAAAACAGTTGGGAAAAAGATTTATTTTGAGTTCAAAACTGGCCATGTCAGGGATGATAATTTGCTGTGGGTATGAAAGAAAAGGAAAATGGAGCTGGCTTATACAGGATGGCTTTTTGCTTTTTAGTACTTCAAGTTCAAACACACTAGTAACAACTGCTTTGGTGGCAAGCTGATACCTTTCCTACTTCCCTTTTTGCATCATACGATTCATGTTTTCCTCATATACCTCTAGGAGGTTACCCATACATCTTTATGAAGGTTTTTCTGACAATAATACAGGAAAATATTCATCCTTTGAGAGAAGAGCGCAAAAAATCACATGCATTCAGTTGGCCAGCCTATATCCTCATTGTTGGCCCTTAGATCTTAATTTAGACTTGGGTTTCCAGACATCAAAGCCAGTCAGTACCTTTCCAATTCAGACATTGCTTCTGAGAACATGGTTATTAAAGTGTTTCATTTGACGATTAGCTATGATTTCTGGTGATACTTTTCCAAATAAAGTAGCAGCCTGAACAGGAGGCTGTTACTCATTCCTTTGTTCCATGGAGGACTTCACTTGTACGAGCCTTCCACACTCAAACTGAGACTAGAACAAGTGATAAACATACCAGTTCCACTCAACAGCTTGGCTTATTGACTGGAATTTAACAATTTATAAAAGCTCCTGAAAGGTTTAAGCAACAGCTATCATTGCTTACCATCCACAAAGTCACAGATTAAGAAATTAAATGGTAGCTGAAAGTAAGGATTGTTTCATCTAAAGCAGGGTCAGTTTGCATACTAGATGTAGTGAATGGCTTTCAACTCTCATTAGTGTATCAACTTAGCAAATAGATGACTTCCAACCTTTAATGTTCCTTTAAAAACAGAATGGTTTCAAGTTCCCTTCTGAATACATTCCTACATAAGCTCTTACCACTTGCTTCATACAAATCTATACTAGTATTCTATATAGGGTAAATGAAGCAGAAGGCAGGTTGCATTTATCCTATGACAAGATGAAAAGCTGATTACGCAGATGAGTGCAGATGAAGTGGAAACCTCTCAGAGATTAGGTTTTGCTCTCAGTGTGCCCTACATTGCAGCCTGACATAATCATTTCATGTTGGTTGCTTTTTGTGCACTCTGTCTCCATACAAACCATGTGCTTGCAAAAAAAGGAAGTTACTAACAAAGTAATTGTTAACCTTTCTTTGAAAATGCTAAACATCAGAAGAGAAAGCCTTACTTTCAGCCAGGTTTTTTTCCATTCCCTAGTCTGCAGGCATGTCTCAATATGCAGCGTATGAGCAAGTATTTATGTATAGGCAATCAGTTGATGGTCAGAAAATTTCAGGTAAAAAGGAGAAAACTCACTTTGTTAAGATTTCAAAAGGAAACGATTCTATGAGCGCTTCCTAAAGTGGTAGGAATCTGATGATCCCCAATGTTTCAAATAGAGGTGGATGATTTCTCTTTAAGTAAGATCACATTTATTTATGAAAAATCTGCACAGTGAGCTAATAAAGAATTTAATAAACAGACCGCATATTAATGAAGCTCAGCAGAACCTAATGTGACATTTTCAGGAGGCTGTAAGTTACAGTGAGAAAAGGTATTTCATTGCAATGTTTCAGTATTGAGAAGGGTCTTAAACACCAATGGGAATGACAGGACCATTTATTTCTCCCAGTTGTGTCCGTTACTAGAAATATTTTAACTTTAATTCTGTTACTTCTGAATTGTCTCTATTCTTTTCACCTAAGTTGTTCCAAACGCCTTTTCTTTCCTTCCTTTATGGTACCTTACAGAGTGGAGTACTTTCAGTGAAGAGCAGCAGGAACTTGTAGAAAAATAATGTTCAGACCAATAAACTAGGTCCTTTTTCTGCTCCACCTAAAATTCTGTCCCTTGACATATCTAGGTATTTTATGAGGCAGTTTAGGGCACCAGCTTGTGTTGTGATTTACCTCCTCGGGCCATGTTAGGAGTGAGGGTGGGATTCCTTGTCCTCTCCTGCTGCAGTTTGGAGCTGTGCCTGCTCTGCTTGAGGGCCGTACTGCAGTTACTGTGGTGAGCGGTGGCTGTGTGGTTGGCAGTGATGCTCTTCCAAGAGGAGAACAGATTTGATGGATGATGGAAGGACAGTTTATGACAGAAATAAGCCGGCTGAAGCCTCGGTGTGTTTGGCTCCCCGGACGCCCACACTTTGCTGGAAAATCTGTTTTCTGACACATCGGGCGGTAAGACCAAACGGCACAGCGACGGCCCTTCCAGCGAGCCCCTGGCCGCCAGCCCCGCATGCATGCAGCCCCGGCGGGGCCGGGGGGCTAGCCGACCCCCCAACCTCCGCCTGCCCCCCCGCAGAGCAGGCACAGCTCCAAACTGCAGCAGGAGAGGACAAGGAATCCCACCCTCACTCCTAACATGGCCCGAGGAGGTAAATCACAACACAAGCTGGTGCCCTAAACTGCCTCATAAAATACCTAGATATGTCAAGGGACAGAATTTTAGGTGGAGCAGAAAAAGGACCTAGTTTATTGGTCTGAACATTATTTTTCTACAAGTTCCTGCTGCTCTTCACTGAAAGTACTCCACTCTGTAAGGTACCATAAAGGAAGGAAAGAAAAGGCGTTTGGAACAACTTAGGTGAAAAGAATAGAGACAATTCAGAAGTAACAGAATTAAAGTTAAAATATTTCTAGTAACGGACACAACTGGGAGAAATAAATGGTCCTGTCATTCCCATTGGTGTTTAAGACCCTTCTCAATACTGAAACATTGCAATGAAATACCTTTTCTCACTGTAACTTACAGCCTCCTGAAAATGTCACATTAGGTTCTGCTGAGCTTCATTAATATGCGGTCTGTTTATTAAATTCTTTATTAGCTCACTGTGCAGATTTTTCATAAATAAATGTGATCTTACTTAAAGAGAAATCATCCACCTCTATTTGAAACATTGGGGATCATCAGATTCCTACCACTTTAGGAAGCGCTCATAGAATCGTTTCCTTTTGAAATCTTAACAAAGTGAGTTTTCTCCTTTTTACCTGAAATTTTCTGACCATCAACTGATTGCCTATACATAAATACTTGCTCATACGCTGCATATTGAGACATGCCTGCAGACTAGGGAATGGAAAAAAACCTGGCTGAAAGTAAGGCTTTCTCTTCTGATGTTTAGCATTTTCAAAGAAAGGTTAACAATTACTTTGTTAGTAAC